CCATGAATGTGGTTTCTGCACATTATCTTTACCCTCACAATGGCTTTGGGGTTTTGGGGTTTTTAGGTTATTCTCTTTTGGGTGTTTTTGAGAGGTTTTGGTTTTGGTTTTGGCCATTCTGGAAGAAGGATGTAGAGAGTGGTGTTGGTGAAAGTAGAAATGTTGGTATGTAATCTCAGTTTTTGTTTCTTTCAGACTTCATAGATGGATGGTTTTGCTTTAGATAAATAATAATATATTTTCTCTGGGGTCCCTTGAAGTTTGTAACAGTAACTCTGAATCCATATAGTTTAAAATTTATATTTCTGCCCCATAGAGGACATGTTCTTTTAAAAAAATAATAATAATTTCTTTTTTCTTATTTTACCTGTACTTAAATAGAAAATATTATAATGGAATCTTAAGTGTGTGTCCACTTTAGTGCAGAATTTATTGAGCTCATTTTAGAATTTATATCTAAAACACAATGATGTGTCAAACGTATAATAGTTAATTATGGACTTAATCATTATTATATAGGAAAAATGTCAAATTAATACTAAATTTTATATGAAATGTCAATTAGATAAACTTTTAAAAGTTACAATTAAATATATGAATATGTCATTATCGTGCATTAAAATTCAAGAATTAGTTATTAACATGTAATAGCAAGTCATCAAGGTTCTAGCAAGATTTTACCTAGCTCCATGTAAATAAAATTGCCGATCAGTGATAGGTGAATGGTCGCCGATGGCCTTCCTCAAGGAGGTGATTGTCGATCACCTCCTTCACTAATGAAGGCGATAGGTGACCATTTACCAGTTACGAGTCATCATATTATCTCATCTGGACCTTGCCAGAGTCCTAATCATTGATTATTATGGGTTAATAATTGGTTATTAGGTTTCGATGCACGAAAATGACATATTGATATTTTAATTGTAATTTTTAAAAGTTGAAACATCTAATTAATTTTTTGTATAAAGTTTATCCTATTTGTACCTTCCTTTTATTATATTGATATTTTTAAATTTAATTTTTATTAATAATTTCATTACAAATTTTTTTATTGACTATTTTGATGACAATCATGAGCTAGTCGTTTTTACCAATTCTATTAAATTTGAAGGTTAAAGGATAATTAAATTATTTTATGACATTATTTTGCGAAGCCAGTAACACTAGTAGCTCGGACTTGTTCCTCCTCTTGATAAATAAAATAAAATAAAAAATTATTACCTATTAAATCGTGAAATTGTCAATAGTAATGTTTGGATGGAACCAACTTTGCTTTGATGACCAGATTCAAGAATGATGTGTTATATTCAATTTTTCATTAAAAGAAGTTTCAATTAAATTAAAAGGAGTTGATAAAAGACAGAATATATTAGAAATAGTAACTTAGTTTTTAACTCTTTAGATTTCAGTATTTCATGCAGATAAGAAGAAATTGGACAATTGGTCATGAAAGAATACATTTTAAATGCTATAAAAAGGGAAAAAATGCAATCATGAAGATTAAATTTAAAATTTTGACCATAATTGAGGATTAAATATGAAATTAATTCAATAATAAAATATAAACAAATTTTACTAAATAAAAAATCCTTTTAAAGAAGTCTTTAGTTAACATTTTTTAAATTTATAAAAAATCTCATTTTAGTGAAATAACTAACTGAGCCACCAACAATGATGAGCGTGTTTAGCAAATATATGTTAGTTGATAGTTTTTAGCGGATTGGGTTAGTGGGTTTGACTAGGTTATAGTATTAGCTGGTTGTAAAAAAATGTTTTGGTAAATTAGTCGTTAGTTGATAGGCCGGTGATTACATGCAAAATGACCTTTAGGGGGCGTTTGGTTCACGGAATCTTGAATTACCCCAGGTAATAGGATTACCTCCTGGAAGGTAATGTGAGATTTTGGGAATGTAAGATTACCTTGTGTGTTTGGTTTGAATGGTGTAATATAATATTATCTTGTTTGGTTCAGGGTTATATTTTAGGTTATATGAATCAATTTACAATAATGCCCTCAGTATATATATATATATATATATATATATATATATATATATATATATATATATATATATATTATGTGTGTGTATTTATTTGATTATATAAACATATATTAATTTCATTATATTACTATTATTATTATTATTATTATTATTATTATTATTATTATTAGTTAACAAGGGCAAACTTGGAATAATTCAAGGTAATCTAAGATTACCTAAAAAAAATAGGGGTAATCACATTACCTTGAAACATTACCGCCACATCAGCTTTCAGGTAATATAACATTACCTGGTAATCTCATAACTTGAACCAAACAATGTAATATAACATTACCAGACTCAGATTACCTAGGTAATCCAAGATTCCGTGAACCAAACGCCCCTTTAATGATATAATTTATTTTGACCCTATTTGGTAATATAATTAACTTATCAACTGATTTTGATTTATTTGACCACTATTAGATGTTTGACTTGGTTAAAATGCTAATATAAGTGTTTGATTAATTAGCTTTTTGTAACAACTTACTATTCCAAAACGCTAAAATTCAAAAAGCTGTTCAAACCAGCTTTTTCAAGCAACTTTTTAATTGAGAAAGTCATTTTGCATGTAATCAACTATCAGCTAACAAGTAATTTACCAAACATATTTCTACAATCAGTTAATGCTATCGACTAGTCAAACTCACTAACACAATCAACTAACAGCTATTTACCAAACACTCCATTTCTCAAAAAGCTTATTGAAAAAGTTGCTTTGAGCAGCTTTTTGAATTTTAACATTTTGGAACAATAAACTATTATAAAAAGCTAATTAACCAGATACTCATATTAATTGTTTAACCATTTCAAATAGCTAATTAATCAGATACTCATATTAATTGTTTAACCATTTCAAATAGCTAATAGTGATCAAACAAATCAAAATTAACTAGAATGTGGATGTGTTTATGAATTTGAATTGTTGTGAAATCAAAGGATGAAGATTCCGATTAAGGATAATTTATTATTTATGAATTACGGAAAAGGAAAATTGTGTGGGGGGTGAGAGTGAAATTATCTATCCAATCGAGAAAGTGAAAGGGAAACAGGTGGGGAAGGTGAAGTGAAGTAAAAGAGGCAAGGTCCCCTTTTCCCTGTACATGGATGCCTCAGATTTTTGTGCTGTAGGCCCTTCCTTCTTCATTTAGGGTCCGTTTGGAAAGCAGGAAAATGATTTCTGGAAAATGATTTCTGGAAAATGAGTCATTTTCCAGAAAACATTTTCCTTTTTCAGTGTTTGGTTGCATTTGGAAAACTGTTTTGGTGTGTTTGGTTCATTTTCTGAAAAATGAGTAGAATAGTATAATTAAATATTTTATTTTGAATTAAAAATTCATTTTATATTTTTAAAACAAAAAAAAAAAAAAAAAAAAAAAAAATTGGCTTCCGGCGGAACCCAGTTGGGTTCGCCGGAAACCATAGCCATGGTTTCCGGCTTGGGTTCCGCCGGAAACCATGCCTATGGTTTCTGGCGGAACCCAACTGGGTTCCGCCGGAAACCATGGCTATGGTTTCCGGCGAACCCAACTGGGTTCCGCCGGAAACCATGGCTATGGTTTCCGGCGAACCCAGTTGGGTTCCGCCGGAAACCATAGCTATGGTTTCTGGCGGAACTGGGTTCCGCCAGATTTAAAAAAAAAAAAAAAAAAAAAAAAATTACGAAAGAGAAAGGCGGAAAACGACTTCCGCCCAAATTTGGCGGAAGTCATTTTCCGCCAAATTGGGCTCATTTTCCCCAGTCAACGGAAAATGTTTTCCGTTGACTGGATTTTCCAGGTGTAGCCAAACACCAAAAATTCGGAAAATGACTTCCAGAAGTCATTTTCCGGGTTTCCAAACATAGCCTTATACTACTATTTCACTTATTAAGATCAATCCATTGAATACCAATCCTAATCAATTAGTTTTTGAGAGTGTTTTTTTTTTTTTTTTTAAAGCTCCCAGCCTCCCAGGTTAAATAAGAAGAAATTGATTCCTTTAAACTGCTTTTTTGTTGGTCATTATGATTAAACCCACTGTCAATAATATGTTGGACTAATTAGAGCATCCATACTAATTGAGTTTTTGTACAATTTTTAAGAATGTCATGTAGTAGAGAGATAAAAAATGGGAAAGAAAAAAAATCTAACAATTAAAAAAAAAACAAAAAAAAAAAAAAACAACGGTTCAGTCAGAGTGGCGGCCACTCTGACATGTCCCAGCGGGCACGAAGTGCGCTTCAAACGCGCTCCATGCGACTTTTTTTTTTTTCTTCTCCTATAAAATTCATAAATTTGCAGGAGAAAAATTTGTTCAAAAATCATGCTTCCCAACAATTGTCTTCTTATTTAGCAAAAAATTTTTCTTTACAACAAAATTCACAAATGTACTTGTCCTTAGAGGATGATATAATTTATAAACTTACACAGCCAAGAGGGCACGAAAGTATCCACATTTCAAATGAACAAAAAAGTGTATTAAAAAATGGACATCCGGATCAATTGGAAATGAAATAAAAGTTCTAAAAACCAAAGCTATGTTTCGAAATGAACATGAAATGGAATAGAATTGGAAATCTCATATATCATGGTAATTTCATGCTTGATCATTTGGAGAAAAATCAAGTACTATATATGTTTGGTAGTAGAGTGGAATCGAAATCAAAATGAAAATAAACATTTTGAAAGTACAAAAATAAAAAATTAAGACAATTGATCCAAATATATATATATATATATATATATATATATATATATATATATATATATATATATATATATATATATATATATATATATATATATATATATATATATATATCTAAAAACACTAATCTAAAGTTAAAAATCTAAGGTTTTTAATTGAAAGGGTAATCAAATCCCATAGTTTTGTTTTAAAAAGTTATCAACCAAACACTAACTATGAATTTAATTCACATTCCTAATGTGTAAACCCATGAACTAAACACACGCTATATTTTACCCATTGAGACCAAATATCCATCCAACTTGCATAACAAAACAAAATATAGAGTAATAAACTAAGAACAACTCTAACCAAGTTAGTCTGATTGTTTGTTTGATACACTAGGATTCCAAGTTCAACTCCAGGTGGAAGCGCTCTATTGACCCATCTTGGTTTAAATCGGACCTAAACTGGCCTACCTCATATTATTTGTCCTTTGTCTACTAAGGTTATAAGATGGGGTTTACTCTATACACGCACTCAGGTAATGGCTGCAAATTTCCCCCGTCACTCCAAAATAGTAAAGTGACGCAAGGCCGGCCAATTAAAGAGGTCTTAAGTTCAATCCTGAAATCCCTCGCCATCCTCTTTCCTCGTTGAAAGCTTATAAGAAACCTCGGCTCGTGCTTCTTCCAACTTGAATGAGAGCTCCTTCATGAAACTACTTTTTGTTCCATGAGTAATTCTTAATATATCCATCGCCTTGCTCAGTGACTTGAATGCTTCCTCCGACTCTCCAAGCAACCTGAAAGGCCCCAGAAGAGAACAACTTTTGTTAAGTTCATTGAAGGAGAAGACCCAGCATCTTTCATCTATTAGGAGGACTGAAATGAAGATAAAGAGTATTTGTGAATCAAATATTTTTTAGATCTACCGAGGAGAGTACATGCTGAAAAATATGTATTTCACATATTCGATTGTTTGCATGCATGGGTCTCTATATATATACAACGAGGCTAAACTAAGAAATAAAATCAAGAAAAATCAAGGGAATAAAATCAGGAGATTAGGGAATACGCTCCTAATAAAAAAAAACCTAGAACTAAATCCCTGAAATTATAGAATATAATCAAATGCACAAATTGAGGGAATTAAAAGGGAAATAGCTTCTTGAATGATTATGCTTTAACGCAAATGCAAAATTTAAAATTATATTCCTCGAGATCATTGATCATATGAACCTGCACTTGGGAGGGGAAAATCCTTTCCCTCATTTTCATTCTCATATTGTCCAAAAATGCCGTAATGGAAAGAACCGAGACTAATCAAAAAATGAAAAAGTAAGGATTGCAAATGTCTAACCATTCAAGTTTTCCACAAGTATAATACTGGAGTCCAAGCAACGGATGAAATCCTTGATATACTCCTGTAGAAAGTTGACGATCAAAAGTTGACAATGATAATATATTTTTACCACATCTAGGATCAATCGTCGGATTGATGATCTAGACTGAAGGCATGAGCACCATAACCGATTCAAGCAACGGGATTTTTAACTTTTACGTGTCATTATTTAGTGGATTGGCACCAAGGGTATCTAATTTATTGCCATTTTTCTTTTCACGTCAAATTTACTTTCAAAGCCAGTATACCAGTCCTTGTTTAGTGCTGCATGCCAGTTTCTTTCATTATTTTGAGTTCATCCTAGCAACAGTAAGCTACAGTGGCATACTCTGATAAACTGGAATAGTCAATCTGCAATACTCCAAGGCTTCCTTCCAATCTTGAAGCTCCATAAACATCTGAATAAATGAACTTTATTCATCATCTTTACAAAAACAATAATAAATGTTAAGAGAAGTAAGAATAACTGCTGAGAATAATACTGAACTTTTATCGATCTCAAGAGAAGTGATTTATGCTAAAAGCTAAATAGGGTGGTGGCAAATGATGAATGGTAATATTTCCTAAATCCTTAACAAATCAGGTAGAAGATGGAAAACGAGGAATAAAATAAAAATAAAACTATAAAAGTATTTGCTACCAAATGCTTTCAGGCACCACTTGAAAGACTCAATTTTCCACAATTAGGAACAAAATATTAGCAAACGAGCACGGGAGGGAATTGAAAATACGTGTAACACTAGAAATTAAAAGCATACCTTTAAAAGTGTTTCCCGAGTGCGCATCAGATTGATTGAAAAAGCATGGAAAAGCCTCAACTCAAGCTCCTCAATCGATTTATACATCACAATAGCATCTCTTTTATCTGAATTCAAAACCTTTATTAGAGAAAAACAAATGTAATCCGATATCATCTTCTTGCTGGACGTAACTAATAATCCTCTAAAAATGTTAATTAACATGAATATTTTTAGTTTTAGAATAGTACAACTATTTTTAAAGTAAAACTAATAAATTTTTAGTAACTGTAAACGATATCTAGATCCAAATGGAGGATACGGCCAGAAGAAGATGACAATGAAGCTCTTTCGGACATTGATTTGATCTCACCGGCAAGGTTCATTACTTCTTCCTTCTCCCTAAGAAGTCCACACTGTTGACATATGAATCCTTTATCCTCTAGCACACATCGAGAAAAGAGATCAGTTACAGCTATAGCAACCTTGTGAACCAAAAATTGATTCATACTATCAATCGCAGATGATATACCAGAGTCACGAAGCAGGAAACCTTTACACCGACTATCTTTACAGCTATAGCCTTCCAGAATCGCACTTTCTTGGATATCATCAATTTGTCCCTTCATAAAATAACTAGCCAAGTTCAATCAAATATGAAACTCGGGGAACATTATTATACAAATAGAAAGCATTAAAAAAAAAAAAAAAAAAAAAAAAAAAAAAAAAAAAAGCAAGGGTACCAATTTTATGCAGCGAGGGCAGGTGCAGGAGAAGAAGTATTGTTCTTTGAGGGCTTTCTGTCGAGTTATAGTGCTTCCAGCAGTTTCTATGTAACTTATCAATACCTTATAGAAGACAGCAAGATAAATCATTCAAATAGCCAATCAGAAAGAAATGGTGAAGTGTCAAAAGAAAGGCCAATTGACAATATGCTCACAACCTATCATGTATATACACCACTGTTGTAAAAATCGGCCTAGGCGGCGCCTAGGCGCCCCTATGCCGTTCCGCTTTCACTATTAGGCGCCCAAAAATCGGCCGGGCGCCTAGCCGGCGAAATCGGTCAAAATCGGCCAAGTCGGTCGATTTCTTCTAATTTCGTCCGATGTCGTCTGGTCCAGCCATCCGTAGACTAGTTTAATACTTTGAATCTTTGGATGATTGAAGTATTTGAGTATTTTTATTTTTTAATATTATTTTGATGTTATGACTTATGAATTATCATTATTTCATTTATTTGGATGTATTATTTGATTGAATGTTAAAAACAGCCTCATTAAAATTGTCAAACTACAAGTCTCCCACTATTTTGTTGGCGCCCGCCTAGCGCCCACTGCAACCATGATATACACCTAATACATATATGCATATGATTAGAGGTGTCACAACAATTACCTCAGTACCTTTCTTTATATGCTGTACAGCACGTACCACTGCCAATCGTCCCTCAAACACTAAAACAGAATTTGGCAAACAACTATTGCATAAAAGCTAAATTAGAAATAAACAAATAAATAAATAAATAAATATATATATATATATATATATGTGTGTGTGTGTGTGTGTGTGTGTGTGTGTGTGTGTGTGTGTGTGTGAGAGAGAGAGAGAGTGCAGGCAAAATAGAATAGAAAATTTTACAGAAATTACCTGTGGTTAATTATAGAAATTACAGGATAGAGCCCAGTTCCAAGGGGTTTCAGTTCACTGTCACAAATTGTGTGTGCATTGCATGCAAACTGCACGCAACAATATCAGCACGATTTATTAGAGCAATATTTATGACAAATGTGATGCAATATTAGATCTGAACTGTCATTAAACCACATGGCATCTATGAATTTATTCAAGAGAATTATATGATCATAACAAGCAAAAGATGTAAGTGACAAATGCGGTTAAATGCACATATATAAGAAAAAAATGCAACAACCCTGATGGGCATCTCAGTATACCTTAGAAAAGTTTTCTGCAATCTCTTTTATATTGATGTCGGTCCATTGGAGGATCAAATTTACAAGGTTTGCCATCTGAGCGTACAACACTAGTTGCTTCTCATCAATGTCAGACATGTCTTCAAAAGTGAACACGTTAAGATCAAAACAATATAACTTTATCAATTCAATTGAAAGGCGATATATATATATACAAGGATACGAGACACCAAAAGCTCCACCAAAGCATAGTTGTCCATGGCAGTAGTTGGGATATTCTGTCAATAAGAAAATAATAGTTAGAAGCTTAGGATCTTCAATACAGGTGTTCTAATCCGAAGCAAATATTATAAACAACTAAACAAGCAGTTAAAATAGACTATGAAACCCCAATCCAATAACGAAAAACACAGTTTCTGAGTAGCAAAACAATAAAATAAAAATATTTGAGCAAACAGTTGATAGAGAAATCTGTTTCCATGAATTAAATCTGTCCATGTCTATTTAAGCTGTTCCGGGCATCCTTTCCATGGATTATACAATAAAATGTGACATTATCTTAAAATATTTAGATTGAGCAGTGGGATCAAGAACAAAGATTGTACTACAGAAAACCAATGGCAAACAAAGCATTACACAAGTCCAAGTTTGCCAAAAAAATAAATCAAAGAAAGAGCATAAAAAAGCCTAGCCTTGAAACCTTAAAACCATTGTCTATATATCTCATTCCAAAGAAAGAGTTCTGATTTCTGACCCAAATAACTTAAGAACATAGCAAACTTTTTTACCTTTCACCATTAAAGTTATATTTATTTTTCACTGGTCGATATGGACATTCCATTCACCTAACTACCTAAGCAAACCAGTATTTGAATTCCATAAAAATAGAACACTCATAGAAATTCGCAATATTTTTCACTGGTAGATATGTAATTAGGCTTCAGAGTTCTCGTACTTAACTTCAAGACCTAAACTCTAACATTTAATCTGTTATGAAGATTATGCAATTTCACTTAAAAAGGAATGATACCAAAGTCTAACGAAGACATGCTTTAGAAAAAAAAAAAAAAAAATCTTCCTTTTCAACAGTACAATAAGGTATAAAGACACATTTCTAAAATGAGTAATACACTAACTCTTATAAATATATATAACATAAAAGAAGATGAGACTACCCACATTTTCACTTTGCAGTTTTCTCCTCAGATAAAGTTTAACCATCAATCTGATAGTTGGTGCAAGGGATTTTATCCTATCCCTCTCAACTTTGAATAGTGATTGGCATTCAAATCTATGCAACTTCCAATCTGACTTCTGAAAATTACAAGTGTTAATATGAGAAAAAGTTTCCAATTAGTTAGAGAAACAAAATGCCCTTATTTACTTGACATGTGGCACCACAGTAATAGACAACTTGACAAGCAGAACACTTCTTAACATTAGTGGATGTAAAGCACCATTCACATTTTGCTGATGGTCCAGTCTTGGTTTTGGTGGGAACAGAAACATAGGGCTCTTGGCTTATGATTACTTCCCCTAGTAACACAAGAGGCAAATTCATTCAGAGAGCCAAATAGACATTAATATATTCTAGAAAAACAAACTAACGGCTTAAGAAAATGTAGAATTACAGTAAAAATGGTTGCTTTTTTTTTTCATTTCTTTTCAGGGTTTAAGGGAGAGGAAGAAGAGAGACCTGGGGAAAAATCTCGGGTAGTGAAAATGCAGCGACCCTTTTGTGGATGAGTTGAGACGGTTACGCCTTTTTCACTCAACGCTTCCTGTAATTCCTCCATGTATGCTCAAAGCTTGCGCAATAGTGAACTTGAGACTTCCAAATGATTCTGGGAACTTGGAAAATATGTCTTAGGGAGTCTGGTTTCATCGCGTTTTCCCATTGTATTATTATTGCGCCCCAAAAGAATTTATTAATTCTCAAAAGACTCCCAAGTACGATCCAATAGAGAACCCTCCCCCAAGTCCGATAAATTATACGGAGTAACTTATAGACCATGATTCAAAAATAATTTTTAAATTATGTATTTACAATTGACATATTTTATATCTGCACTCGTTTATGTACCTATAATTAAATTGAAGATACATTTCATAGTAAATACAAACAAATGACATGATAATTAGAAATACATAAATTTTTAATTGCAGGTACAAAATATGTTAATTGCAAACACATAATATGGTAATTAATATTTTATGTGTCTGTCGTTAATATATATTGTATCTGCAGTTAGTGTTTGCAGTTATCATGTTATGTATTATAATTGAATTTCCAAATTATGAGTCTTCAATTTGTTTACAGGTAAGAAAGTATTAACGGTAGATATAGAATATTAACTCCAACCCATTTTGATACATATTCAGCCGCCATCTCATTAGACATTAATATAATTATAACTAAAAGGGGTAGGGAATTTCACATTAAATCAATTTCCCAAATATCAAACAAATTGCAACAATCAAAATATTTGTAAGGAACATTAATGACACTTACGTACTTATTAGCGCAAATTATTCCGTGAATCCGGATTCACCTTGCAATTTTAAGGTGGACTCATGTCCAAATGTTTACAATTTACATACTAAATGTTCATAATTTAAAAATTCACAATTTGTAAACTATGAACACACAATGATAACATCTAGCGTCAGAACAGCTCAATGATGGTGGCGCGTGACGGTGTGTGGCTCCTCCGACGGCGACCGGACTTCTTGCCGCGGCGTCGCCAGTCCTTCCCAAACCCAGCTCAGAGACTCACTCTCACTTTTTATGATCTGATACCATGTTAAGTGTTGAAATAGAAGAACATAGTATGTATTTTATGTATTGTTGTACTAGAAGAAGCCCTATTTATACATAGGCTAATAGATTACCGGTCACAAAATTCAAAAATTAAATAAAAGGTATAGAGAATAGCTCTAACAACCCCTTTATTCATCTAACACATTCCAACATTCTAGAACGCTCAGATTAGTTAATTATTTAGCATGAAAAAATGTTGGATGGAGTATAATTATAGGTTAAAATAGTATTTTGTTTTAACCTGAAGGGTGTGGTTAAGTGAAAGGGACTCATTTATCCTTAACTAAAGGTCAATGGTTCAATTATTCCAAAAAATAGTGTTTTGCTTTGTACCACAAAAAACTATTGACTATAGGTTTATTTTGGCACCATCAAAGGCTTGAATTTTGAAGTTGTCTATGTGGTTTCATGCTGGTTTAGTTTTCATTCTATGATCTTTTATTTTATCTGGTATTATCTTTGTGCCAAGGGGAGTTTTCTTATCATACTTGTTATTTGTACACTCTTCATTTATTCAAGATCTTTGATCATATTTGAAAGAAAATAGTGAGTGCATCTTGATCTAGTTTCTGAATATGTAGATATGTATTACGACAAGTAGAGTTGTCAAAACGGGCTGTCCGTCTCGAGTTGGGGGAGAAATGGGCCAGGCTCGACCCTATTTCGAATCCGGGTTGAAATTTTTGGGCCAATCCGACTATGCACGGGATGGTGGGCTAAACGACCCAGCCCAACAGCCCGTTTCTTATTAATTAAATAATTAATTATATTATTTTAAAAATTTCTAATTATTCATATATATTTAGACTTGAACCATAAACCTATTAGTGAAGAACTAGAATCTTTACCAACTAAACACAAATATATATATATATATATGTGAACCACTTAAATAAATGAATAATAATACAAGAATGTTCACATAGTGGCATTATTAGCATAGTTGGTTTCTATAGTGTTAGAATAGAGAAAATTTCAATTTTGGTCCACTGACTGTTGAACTTGTGTTAATTGCAACATCTGACTTTCAAAACTACTAATTTAGTACCTTAATTATGTAATTTTTATCAATTATGGTCACACCGGCAAAATATGACCGGAAAATTTTAAGTCAAACAATTGAACTTAAAAGGAAGGGGCAAATTCGTCATTTCTGGTTCACTCTGATTTGGGAAAGTGATTGTTGACCAAAATCATTCACCGAGATCTAAAGCCGGCGAACCTAATGTGCGCTATATGTTTCTACGAACCGCACAGCTTGCCGGCCGGAGCTTCACCGGAGTTCAAGGACTTCATATATTCCTGTTTGCAAAAGGAATCTAGTAAGAGGTAGAGCACGCAACAACTTATGCAACACCCGTTTGTGAGGGATATTAAATTCAATTCCCAAATTAATTCACAAAATTACAAATAAATAAATAATAATTCCTGAATTTATTTGTAGAAACAAAACTTTCTTTTGTTGAATATTTGATTCAGTTGGATGTATATTCTTCTTCCATGAATCTTATGCTCTATGTAGGTCGAAAACATAGGCGGCTGCTAGTATGCCAACCCCAATTTTCCTCAGCAAACCGCCGTCGTCGACCTCAGACGACGTAGTATTGTTTGCTGCTGCGAGCATACCCAGCTCCACCATTGTCTGCAATTCAAGTTGCGCCAATGGATATGTCAAAGGCTTGTATAGCCTCTTCTGCTAATCTGTCATCTTCACGCCCAAGAAGAATCCCTTGAATTGTTTGTGATTGATAAGTGGGACAGGTCTGTTTCCGTCGCTCAAATCTTGATGCCTGTTTGTTTTCAAGATTATTTTGATGATGAGTTGCTTCGGCTATGGTGATCGGGTGGCAGAGCCCTCTTTGACTGAGAAATTAGACCCCAATGTGGCGGTGGTGGCGCATGTGGTGGACAACCAATCTATTGATACTTCGCCCAGGGTTCGACTCAGTGATGGGAGGTGCATGGCTTATAGAGAAAGAGGAGTCCCGCTTGGAACTGGAGAGGCGACGTGAGAGAAGCAGGCACAGAATGTCTCCGCTTGCAGAGATACGAGCTTCAAGATCCACTCCGATAAGTTCCTCGCTTCTTTCGAATCGCCGAGTTCATCTTTCCTGTTGGCTATCGGCGCTGACCGGAGTTACCGCCGTAGGCTTCGTGTGTCTGCCATAGCTATCAGCTTTATTAATTCCCGGAGCATGCAAGACGAGGAGTTGACACGTAGCCAGGAACACATGTTCCCAAATCAGAGTGAACAAGAAATGATGGATTTGCCCATTCATTTAAGTTTAATTGTTTGACTTACAATTTTCCGGTCACATTTGGCCGGTGTGACCAAAATTGATAAAAATTGCATAGTTAAAGTACTAAATTAACATTTTTAAAAATCAAATGTTGCAATTAACACAAGTTCAATAGTCAGTGGACTAAAATTGAAATTTTCTCTGTTAGAATAGTTGAAAGATCTTGAGTTCAATTCTTGTAGTAAACATTAATTTTAAACATTAAATCAAACTTCAAAAACACAAAATATAAATAAATAAATTTGGGGTGGGGTGGTAAGTAGGTTATACGAGCCAGGTCTGACAAAAAATCGGGTTAAACTGGTCCAACCCAACTCCGGCAAGTACATCCCAGCTTAGACCAAGTTATTTCATGGATGTACTATCACAAAGTATTGGTGTTTCAACATTTTTACTTTTTGTACGTGGAAGGGAAGGCAACTTCTCAACTTTGTTTTGCATTTGTGTTATTGTTTTTTTTTTTTTTTCCGTCTGTTAAGTGTTAACACGTGGTAATGTGGTATAATGAAAAATGGATATCATGTGCCGGTTGTAGGGAATAAAAGTAATATACATAACCAAAGAGCTAGAGGAGCAACAGGCTAAGAGGTTTGGTTCAATATTATCAATTGAATTATGTTTGCATGTTGCAATTTATTTTATTTTCATCCATGTTTCATTTGTAATGCATAATTTGGATAAAACTTGGCAACCAAAGTTACTGCTTTTAATGTATGCTATGCTATACTGAGAGATAGAAACATTGGAAAGTGCATTGGAAACATGTTTGATTGTATAAATTTTTTTGGAGTCTTTAGTTTTGCAATATTGGAAGTTACATCAAGGAATTAGCATGAGAAATTTATATATTTAGTGAAGTGGTTGGAGTTCTTTTAATTATTAATTGTTAAGAATTAAATTGTCGATGCTAAAGTGATGAGATAGTAGAAAAGATGTGTTTCTATTATCTTTATAATAAATTATTAGTGATATATTTTTTTTTATTAGTGAAGTGGTTGAATTTTTTTTAAATATTAATTGTTGATGATGAAGTGACAAGAGAGTGGAAAAGATGTGTCTTCTTCAAGCTAAAAGATCAAAATTTAAAGTTGGATGATGCAACATAAGATTAAGAAAAATTTGCTCCGGGATAAACTACTTGAAGAGAAGGTTTGGGAGAATGATGAATTATTCTTCTTCAATCGCCCACAAGCTTTAGACGAAATTGTATGTTCTCTTTTGGATCTAAATAATTAATCGTTGTTTAATGCAATGTATACAATATTTATTTAATTAATAATGTACTTGCATAAATACATAAAGTATAATATCCTAATCAAATTCTATCGCTAATTAAATCCTATGTATATTCTCTATTATGTCCTTATTAATTATGATTCCATTAATCCAATCATATTTGTCCAAATCAATCACTCTCACTCAAATATTTGCATCTAATGGATATGATTTGTCCTAAGTGCCCTTCTTTTTAGATGTGTCATCATGTGAACAATAACCTAATATGTATGTATATATGTATATATATATATATATATATATATATATATGTGTGTGTGTGTGTGTGTGTGTGTGTGTGTGTGTGTAGGAGAATTGATACAAAACAAGAGCATCATATCACAAGACCAAGCTAGCAGACTATTCTAAACTCATAACACAATCAAGTCAAAAAATGGATTAACAGTTAGACTGATGATAGGGAAATAAAACACTAATTTAAATATCAAAGTAATTTAAACCAATCAAGATTATTGCAATCTCAAA